GGCTCTTCCAGGACCAGTCTCTGATTGAGCCTCGGGAGGAGACTTTGTCATCCTGTGGCTAGAGGAGCTGCTGTTCTTCAAGTAGGCTTTGGTGTTTCCTGGAAACCTGGCATCTCTCCGTGCACAGGGCCAGCCCCCTCCACCTCCCTTCTTGGCTCCAAGAGTATGGCGTGACCTGACTCCCAGTGGGGCACGCCAAGTGATTAATGAGTTTTCTCCACCACGTTGAGCTAAGGCTTGGCGTGGCTTTATGTCCCTAGTGAACGTCTAGGGGAGCAGTGGCATGGCTTTTCAGGCCTGTCTGTGCCAGCGCGCCCAGGGCCAGGCTGGCAAAAACGTCTGCCTCTGTCTGGCACCAGGCTCACTGTTCTGGTTGCTTTGGCCTCCCCGTGCTGGAAGTGTTGAGAATGTGCTGCACATGGTGGATATGAGAAGCCAGCCTCCTCTCTCCCCCCATTCCCAAATTGTCCTTTATTAAAAGAGTTGAGTCTTTCCAAAGTCTCATATTACACAGTGCTCTCTCAACTGCATGCTATATTTTGAACAACAAAGTATAGCTTGACAGTACCTTAGCTTGAAACAACCTGTCATTACTGAATTTGGGTGCCACTAGAAGTCACATGACAGCATTATTAAAAATAAAAGGCAAAGAAATGTAACAGATCAGTCATTAATTTTGATTTTATAAGTGTGGAATATTGATATAAGCGAGGCTTTAAAGATTACTAATAAGTGGAATATATTTATTGGCTACAAATATATGATTATAGGCTGATGAAAAAACTAACTGCCTTAATGATATGAACATGAGTTCTTGTGGGTTGGGATACCATTTCCAATGACGGCATCCCACATAAATTTACAAGGAGCTGTCTTCAACATCTTAATTGGATGACGAGGTTGATGGGTTATGGAAAACTGCTTGGATGACTCAACTCTAAGGTTGATAAAGGCATTAATGTTGAGGATGTACATGAAGAGTTCAAAAATCATTTTGCAAGCTGAGTGTTAGAAAAATAGTATTTTATAGGATTTTTAAAATTTAAAACTATATGAAATTAATACAAGTTACAGTGATTTGACTGTCAATTTTAACCTATCTCCCTAAAAATCACATAATTTAGTTGGTGCAAACCATTGTTTTAGATCTTCTTATTGGCTCCTTGCCTCTAATATGGGAGTCGCCTTGTATTCCTGGTTTTCTAGGTTACATGGTAATTCTTCCTGCTGCCCCCGAGGTGGGAAATTTGAAAGGGAGGAGGAACGAAGGGAGGGTGGCATTTTCTTTGACTCTCTTTCTCTCTTTTTCTCTCTCCATCACTCTTGCTTCTCTATGCCTTCCAGGCACCAGACCCTGGGCTGGGATGGGCAGACTCAGGGTGTGCCAGACTCTGACCCTGCCTTTGGGAGAGTGTGGTCTACAAATGTGTTTTAGACTTTGGGAGGCCTGGGTGTTTTGATTCATATTTGTAATATCTGTGGTTTGCTTCTTGCTACATAAAGTGTATTCCATGGAACATATTAATTTCCCTTTAAGTAGATTTATTATATGAAATATTCATTGGAGCAGGCTTTACCATACAGCATTTGGAACAAAGTACTGAGTACAGTTTGTCCTCATAAATCCGTTAATGCTGATGGGATGTAATTTGTCTCCTGTGAACCTGTGGGGTGTGATTGGGGCCCAAGGAGGGGAAAAAGCTGGCTGCTGAAATCTCTTTATTTCCCTTAGTTTGGCTGTGGCAGGCCCTATGTTAAGTGTGCATGTGTGTGTGTGTGTGTGTGTGTGCGCGCGCGCGTGTCTGGTTATACATATCCATTCTTTCTCTCCCTTTTTAATGAATACAGAGGCTTCTATTTCTGAGAAAGCCCTCTTGTCAGCTTCCAGCTTCTTGTAAAATTCCAGTTTCTAGCAGTGGTTTGTAGTTGTAATGAGACTCAGAAGGAAAAGCTGGCTCATGAGTGAAGACTGATTAGTGAGGAGAGGAGATTCAGGGGACCGAGGAGGGAGGCGGGGGCAGGATGCCAACACTCGGGACTAAGCACAGCCTGACAGACCTTGAGCCAGGTGCTTTATTTGCTTGTCCCAGGTAGTCCTAATAGCCACCCTAGGAGGTAGGTGTTATCATTTCTGTATTTGAGGCTCAGAGAGGTTTAGTAACTTACCCAAAGTGCAATTCATTTAGTTCAGCAAACCTATACTGATGGCCTGTCAGGGGGCCGGGGGCTGGGTACGGGGCGCAGAGCAGTCATAGCCTCTGGCTTCAAGGAATGTCCCATATAGCAGATGTAGAAACAGGTCTGTAGAGGAACCAGACAGGGAGTGGATCCTCCCTCCGTGTGAAAAAGGGTGCACAGGAGGGCGTGGCGAGTTGTAGGAGGTTGTGTGAAGGCTGGAGTAGGTGTCCAAGCGAGATTGGAAGACTGGATAGGAGTTTACCAGGCAGATGAGAGCTGGGAGGCAGAGGTGGGGCTGAGATGGGGTTCCAGATGGTACAAAAATAGGTACAAATATGTAAGCACATATAGGACACCAAGGTGCGGTGGGCAGAGTGAGGACTGCTGGGTTCAGTTCTACTCAATCCCTGGAGTAGAGAGGGTGGGAAGGGTAGCCAGAGCAACTAATGCAGGGCCTCATAAGGAGGGGAGTCAGAAACCATCAGAGGTTTTGAAGCCAAGGAGAGAGAGAAATGAATTTATATATTTAGAATATATTCTTGAGAGGTACAATAGAGGCTGGTTTGGAGAGGGGCAAGGCAGGAGGTAGGGAAACCTGTCAGGATTTGTGATGCCAGCACGGCCAGGAAGTCACAGGGATGGGGTGGGGACAGTGCATGCGGGGTAGGAGGTGAAAGATGGTATCTGTGTGTTGGGAAACTGCAGAGCTGGTCTGGATTTATTCCCCATCTCAAGTTGAGAGCCCAGAAAACGGAAAAAGTTAAGAGAAAATAATCAGTCAGAAAAGGAGTAAAGGAAAATAGTACATTGGAAGAGAAATACACTATCAAGAAATTTAAAAAAGACTTTCTAAGGCAGGGGTCCTCAACTTCTAGGCTGTGGACCAGTATCGGTCCACGGCCTGTTGGGAACCGTGTTGCACAGCAGGAGGTGAGTGGTGGGCTAGCGAGTGAAGCTTCATCTGTATTTGCAGCCGCTCCCCAGTGCTAGCATCACCGCCTCAGCTCCATCTCAGATCATCAGGCATTAGATTCTCATAGGAGCACCAGTCCCTGGTGCAAAAAGATTGGGTACCGCTAAGAGATTTGAAGGGTTACAGTTAGGGAATGATGAGGACTAACACAATATAAAAATGTTTCTAAGTTTAATAGTGTTTTAGAAATTTAAACAGAGCTACGGACAAAAGCAAACACTTAAGTGAGTTCAGATAATAGCAGGTTCTGGTCAAAAGCAGAACCTAAAGTAGGGAAAAGCAGATGGGGCGGCTTACCACCACTGCAGGGCCACAGGAAGTGATTATTCTAACCATCTGACAACTGAAGGCTCTGGGAGTGCAAGCTGGGCAGGGGACACCAATAGACTGGTAGATGGCAAAATGGAGCCCACCTGCTTGAGAACTCGGATACCAACCACACCTGTCTTTTCTCCTGCTGGCATGGCCACTGACGGCGTAAGCAAGCCAGTTAGGGGATTTGTGTGGCCTCTCCTTTGGCGCCCTGTTCAGGTAGGTTCTTGGCCCTTGAGTCAGTGTGGTGGTGGCTGAGCAGCATGTGGTAGCCTTGCAGGTTTGTCCTGTCCTGTTGGCTACCAAGAAAGAGGGAGGTGGAAAGGGTCTTCAGCAGATTTCTTGTGAGGGTTGAAGGAGGAGGAGAAGGAACATTCTGGCTCAGGCTGTATTTATTGAGTGCCTCTTGTGTGCAGTGGAATGTTCTAGATGTTGCAGGGTACATAGAGAAGCAGGGAAGACTCACAAGAAGTATATGAGCAGAGTGCATGGTGATTTGGTATCTTGAGTGAAGCTGATGTTCCATGTGGGATGAACTTAAATATGGACTAATAATGTCAAATAAGGAAACCAACTCATTAGTGTCCTATTAGTACTCTTGTCTAATCACTGGTCATGCTGATGTCTTCTTCCTCCGTTGGTCACTGTTAAGGAAAGAGGATGCATTTATAATTGGATTCTAGCATGGGGCTTAGAATCTGGAGACCGGGGTTCAGATTCTGGCTCTGCCACTTACTAGCTAGCTTACCTTAGGCAAGTGTAACCTCTATGAGGATATGCTTTCTCATTTGTAATTTGGAGCTATAATAGTGATGGCTGCCTTGCTGAAGTCCCAGGTTGTCATGAGGATCAGTATGTGTATGTGAGAGTGTTTCATAAACTGCAGAGCTCTGTTCAGCAGCTGGTGACATCTCTAGACTCTAAGTGTTCTGAGGAAGGTGGCGCCTGGTTGTTCCTTATACAGCACCACCAAAGTGTCTGGGACACTCACAGTGTTGGATGAGCTGATGTGTGAGTTTACTGAAGTTTAAGGCATTTTCCAGGTCCCGTTTTCCAGGGACCGTCTCACTGTTCACACTGTTGGACAAGGAAGATGGAGCATCTGACTGGCTTGTGGAACATGTGTAGTGGCCACCAGGAGTGTCAATGCTGGGGCTAGTGCCAGCCACACAGACATGCTGAGGGTACCAATTTTAGGACTAGACAGTTTCACACAGTTCCAGACACTGGGCGCAGAGCTACCTTCAGGATGGCGCAGCTCAAAGTTCAGAAGCCAAAAGCAGACTAGGGGCTACTCCTGCCCCACCCTCACTCCTACCCTTCCACTACACACCCCTCATGGCTGCCTACACACCCTTCACACATGATGCCCCTGTCCCGATTCCCCATTGTCCTCTGTTTCCTTAACTCTCACTTGGGACCTCCTGCTTGTGACCTTTGAGAGGCCCTGTCTGCCTCCCCTCTGTGGGCCTGTGTGTGTGCTGGGTGTCCGGAGCTGGTCTGCTCATTCCTGCGGTTTCCTCGTGCCTTGCTGCAGGTTGTCTTCCACGATGTCGCCGTGCTGACGGACAAGCTCTTCCCCGTTGTGGAGGCCATGCAGAAGCACTTCAGTGCGGGCTCAGGCACCTACTACAGCGACTCCATCTTCTTCCTCTCGGTCGCCATGCACCAGATCATGCCCAAAGGTAACCTGGGCTGCCGGGGGCAGCAGCCCCTGGTATTGAGTGTTTGCCTCTGTTTCCCTGGCTCCAGTACTGCTGGTGTTCAGTATCAGAAGAGCTCCACTGAAACATGAAGGAGGGCAAGGGGGCCAGCCACACCCTTTGTGTAACGGAGCTTCCTGCACAGAGAATCAAGGGCAGGGCCCTGGGATGCACAGCTCCTGGGTCCCGTTCACAGGGACACAGTGTGAATGGTGCAGTGTGATGTCCCCTGACTCAGGGCATCTGGGCTCCAGCCCTGTCTGTCATACACACTCCACTCTGGGACTCACTTTGCTCATTTGATAAATGGCAGGTAGGACTAGATGACCCTTCATCTACATCTATTAGTTTGCTCTTTCTGGTTTAAATTTATACTTATCTGACTTTAAAATATCAACTCTAGATGTGAGTGGTGCAAATTATGACTGAGTAGGACTTTTTTTTAAACTCTGATGCACAATTAAAGGTTTTTCTGGGCTTTTTCCCTGCAGGGTAGAAGAGATGCAATTGTCTGGTCTGTGATAGCTCTGGTCATCTTTGGACTAGAACCCTCGTGTGGGGGGTTCTCATTCATAGGGTGTTCCGGGCTTCTGGATTTTCTCCTCCAAATGGTCCTCAATTGATTTTGGAGCCCTGGATATTGCCCAGGTTCTGGCTATGGTGAACCACGACCTGAGCATTTTAGGTATGACGAGGGGAGTTTTGGGGTCTTGGGGGTAGCAGGTCTCTGAACTGTGACTGGTCGAGTACCCAGTAGTTCTCAGACTGGACAGAACCTGGTAGCCTAGGGGACAACCAGACCATTTGGTGGAGGCCTGCTGCTCTGGCCCAGCAGACTAGAAGAGAAAGCACCAGACCAGGTATGAAGAACACCACCATTTGAAGGGGCTTGTAAACCAGGATTCAGGAGCTGGAAGCTGACACTTGGTTCCACTGGCAGGTTGTCATTCCACGGGAACATCTAGCCTATCTATTTTAGCTGGGGCTTTGTCTCCATAAGTCAAGTTCCTGCACCACGGAGGCCCCTCCATGTTCTCTTAGCTATAAGGCAAGGGCTCAGGGAGCTTCACTGGGTGGGGGCCTGAGATAGGAGATGAGCTCACCAAAGGGGCACGAGAGAAGAACTAGCATTTGTGATTCTTCACGGAAACTAGGTACAGCTCTGTGGGCTCCCCAAAGCCCTCCACCAGCCCTGTGAGGTTACAGGTGAGAAAGACCACGACTTGAGTGACTTGCCCAGGGTTATACAGCCACTTAAGTGACAGAACTGGGATTTGAACCCAGGTCTGTCTGATGTGGAGGCCTACTTCTCCAAATAGCGGTTACTTCCACCCTCTCAGGTGGGCCATACCAGGTCTCCAGGAGGCCTGGTGCAGGTGCTGTGGGCCACTCAGACCAGGAGAAGGTTCCTGTTCTCCTGGATTTGAGGAGAGAGGGTGACAGATATAGGTGCTTGTCCTGGCCCTGTCACTAAGCACTTGTGTGCCTTTGGTTGATCCAGTTTGTCTCTGTAAACCTCAGTTTCCACACCTATAAATGAGGAGGCTGATCTAGTGAGCTGTTTTTCCT